TCTAGAAGATGTGATGATTGAATGATTGAACTCCTGCTCATACATGTTATGTTTTGGATAAGGCAATATATCAAATGCAAAGATTATTTATTGTTCATTTATTTATGTCAATTCTGTTTCTACTACATAATGAAGAGACAGATGCGACATTTGATAATTTTGTGATAATTATCAACAACAACAACAACTTGCACTTATATACCGCCCTCCACGCAGGATAATGTCTCAGAGCGCTTAATAATCGTGGAGCCTGACTCTGAGCCGGGGTGAGGTGGGAGGAGGCCGTAAGCACAGTTGAGGACGAAAGTTTTCAGGCGGGACTTGAAAGAGGGGAGAGAGGGAGCAAGGCGAAGGGATTTGCTGAGAGTGTTCCAATTTTGGGCTGTAGTGGCTGAAAGCACGATCTCTGATGGTGGGACGGAGGTGCGAGAGATGAGCAGGAGGCCAGTGCCATTCAAGCAGAGGCGCCAGGTGGTAGATTGGAGAGTGAGGAGGCCAGAGAGTTAGGGAGGTGCCAGGGAGTGAATGGATTTGAACACGAGTGTGAAGATCTTGAAGTCAATCCGTTTGTTGATGGGGAGCTAATGGAGCTTGGCCAGAACTGGTGAGATGTCAGCATGGAGTTTGGTCCAGGTCAATATGCGGGTGGCAGAGTTTTGAATAAGCGGGATGTTGTGAGGACCAAGGATGGAGCTGGGGAGATCGGTGAGGAGTGCATTGGAGTAATCCAAGCAGGAGGTGGCAAACACATGCACGTCAGAGGCAGGCAATGTGGTGGAGGTGGAAGAAAGTGGTCCTCGTCAGGGACCAGATGTGGGGGAAGAAGGACAGCTGAGGGCCAAACTGAACGCCTAGGTTGTGCACTGATTCGGTGAGTCTGAGGGAGATCCCAGGGAGTTTGAGGAGTTTAGATCCACAGGAGTGAAGACATTGACAGGAGCCAAGGTGTATGGCTTCTGTCTTGTCCATATTCAGCTGCAGGAAGTTTACACTCATCCAGGCCTTGTTGTCTGCCAGACAAGCTGATAGAACATCGGCGGACATGGAGTTGGTACTGGAGGAGGCAAAGTAGATTTATGTGTCATCCGCTTCCTCGTGGAAGTTTACCCCGTGTCTGCAGATGACATTGCCCAGAGGGAGCATATAGATAAGGAAAAGAAGAGAGCCAAGGATGGAGCCCAGGGGTACTCCGCAGGTGACCAGGTGGGGTCAGGAGGAGAAACCATTTGCTGAGATGAAATGGAGACGGTTGGTTAAGTAGGACTTGCACCATGCGAGTGCGGTCCCACAAAGGTAGATGAGGGAGAAGAGCCGATGGAGGAGGATGGTGTGGCCGACTGTGTCGAGCGTGGCAGAGAGATCCAGGAGGACGAGGAAGCAGAGGGAGCCCTGGTCACAGATTTTCATGGGAGTGGAATAGAGCCCGAGGAGAGAGACTGGTTGACCGTGAAGGCCAGCAGTGTGTCAAGAAGTTGAGTGACCAATAGCTGGGTTGGGAAGGGGTTGATGTAGCAGGTGGTGAAGTTCATCCAGGTGATTGTGGTTGAGAGGGAGGAGGGAGAAATGGGAGCAAAGTAGTGTAAGGAGGGGGAATGGTAGGAGCCGTGGCAGAGGGAGAAGGCGGTGTGGATGGTCTGGGTGAGGTCGAAGGGAACATGGGGTAGGAGGACCATGCAGCCAAGTGGATGTTTTCAATTTTTGAGGCAAAGAAGTCTAGGACCTCTAGACTTCTTCGCCTCAAAAATTGCCTCAAGTCTAGAGGTTCTTTGGATTGTCCTTTGTCTCCAGGATGACTTTGGAGTAAAAGTCAGTTTTGGCCTGTGAAAGGGAGAGGTGGTAGCTGCGGAGTTTCTCGAGCCACAGCTGGCTGTGAACTGTGAGGCCGGATATCTCCCATCTGCACTTGAGCATCCGGGTTTGTGGTTTGAGTGAGCCGAGATGACTGTTGTACCAGGGGGAGTGGGTGGGTGTGGAAACAACCCTGGACTTCAGGGGAACTAGGGAATTGAAGGTTGTGGAGAGATGGTCATTCAGCAGCTTGATGGCTGCATCAGGATCGCTGTGGATGGAGGGCCAGAGGGAGAGGAGTTCCGAGGAAGAGAGAGCATTTGTGAGGTACTCAGGGGGAAGCTTTTTCTGGAGGCAGAAAAAATTGGTGGAGTGTTTGGAAGAGGGGAGGGAATGTGGGAGTAGAGGGAGATGATGAAGTGGTCCGAGATGGCTTGTCTGTGATTGACAGGTCGGAAATGTCAATGTCATGTGTGTTGACGAGGTCGAGGGAGTGGCCACGGTTGTGGGTTGGCGAGTTAATGTAGAGGGTGAGGTTTAAGGAGGAGAGGAGGGACTTGAAATCTGAGGAGGTGGTGCAAGGGGAATTTGGGTGGAGGTTGAAGTCATTCATTATGAGCAGGTGTTCAGTGCAGAGGGACAGGGATGAGAGGAGAGAGGAGGTATCGGTGAGGAAGGAGCCAGGAGTTTTGGGGGGTGGTAAACTAGGAGTATTTTGGGAAAGAGAGAGGAGGGATGGTAGAGGGTGAGATACTCAAAGGAGGAGAAACAGCCCGAGGAATAAGGGGATAAACCAAGGGAAGCTTGGGAGATGAGGGCCACCCCACCACCATGTTGGTTGGGGCGGGGTGTGTGGTGAAAAGTGTAGCCAGGAGAGGAAGCTTCAGCGAGGGGGAAGGGGTCAACGAGGGAGAGCCAAGTTTCTGTAAGCCCAAGAATATCAATGTGCTCATCCAGAATGAAGTCATGTAAGGGCTTTGTTGGAGAGGGAGCGGACATTTTGGAGGCAAATAGGAATAGGTTTGCTGGTGGGGGGGACGGTGATGGGGACAGTGGTATAGAGAGAAGTTGGGGTCATGGGGGGGGAAGGGACCATGGAGCTTGATGAGCAGGGAGAGTTGGAGAAGGTATGGATGAGGGAGAGGGAAGGACATATCCCATAATATGCCATATTTTTCTTAACTTAAGTAACCTCTTACTGAGATGTATTTTAAATAGGCTGCTAACAAGTTTTCTACCCACATTCTCATGAATGCAGCTGTTTAAATTGTAACATGCCATGGCGTTTAATTTTATAAATTGAGATGCACTTCTTTTAATTTATGCAAACCAATGTTGCATTCCTCGGTGCCATTTAATTCTTATGAAATATATTTAGTGCAAAATTATAGTATGTTTATAATATTATGCTTCTTTAATCAAATGCGTTTTATAGTGCGATCATAATTTTAAATTGAAAAATGCCTCTTCTTTAAATGATTTTCAATACATCATGAATTATATAATATTGAAGGATAATGAGGGTTTATCGTATTATAACTCAAATGAGATTCATATTTATGCAAAAACAATTGTGATAAAGTACATTATCAGTGTAAGACTTCAAGTCTAAAAGTTGCCTTCAATGTTATTAAACCAGTTACTCTGAATGCAATGGTATCACACAGTGAACATTTAAGCAGGAATTTCAGGCCAACCCATCAATAATTTCTCACATTGGAGTCTTAAAAACATTTTCTCAATGTCCACAGGTATTGGGCCAAATGTCTTGCTTCCATCACGCAGTGTAACCAAATCACTATCCTGATCATATTACTGACCAACTAAACTCTGCAAAACAATTAGTCTTCTCTTCGTAATTATAGGCTTAGAGAATTAAGATTCCCTCTCACAAAACAAACTCTCTGGTAGATAATGGAAAGTATCACAACTTCTTCCAATGTCTAAGCTATGCAAGACCACATGGGTTTCTTTGCATGGAGATGCGGGAGAATGTTGTACGCAATGTAATGATTATCGCAGATGAAAATGATCACGAGTGCCAAAAATGTGGTTAAAATATGCCCTTTGTGTTTGTTCTTTTTTCCTCGGGCATTTTCGGAATCAAAATGTCATCGTCTTTTTTCTCAGCTAGCAACAATCACCAAAGCAAAAAACAACCCTAAGCTTCAGAGAATGCTTTTTAACTTTTGATTTGAACTGTTAATTTTAAAACCGTATCTGGAAAATAAAATTGGTCATTTAATCCATGGCAGTTTATATTGCTGTCTACAAATTGGCTGCCATGTTCACCTATGAATTATATTACAGTTTATCCTGTGAAATATTTAGAGGCATCCTCCTGATGTGAAAGGTGCAATATCAAATGCAAGGATTATTATTGTTAATACTTTTTGTATTATATATTCACCTGACCCTCATTATGAGGCTCCAAGTGTAGCACTATTACACAGGTTTAGCTCTTCACTTTTTAATCTTGGATTTTATGCCATGAAGGTGGACATTAGTGTCGTGTATAACTCATCAAACTGACATTCAAAATGCTTGGCTGTCAGGGATTGGATTTTAATGAGAGTGGAGTATATATAAAATTATTCTTGTACAAATAACAGAAAGAGCTGTCGAAAAGTGCTACCAGCTCAAACATTTGTTAGCTGTCATGTTTCTCCTTGTCTTAATGGCACAATGTCACTGTGCAGAAGTGGTTTAACACCTTAAAGGAGTTTTGTGCTTGGTTTTTGCAATTGTACAATTTTAAAGGCGAATCATCTATTTATCAAGTATTTGTGTGGCATATTGCTGAAGGAGAAGTCTGTCAATTTTGGTTTTGTTCTGTCTTCACCAAGTGACACGCAAACAATTTAATGTTAGTTTAAACAAGGATCTAGTAACACAAAAGAGCTTCTTGAATTAAATATCATTCCCATGCAGTGAACAAGTGTAAACAATAAGGCCTATAAACTTGTTGAGATAGATTTAAAGCTTTATTTCATATGTTCACTACATTGGCATACTATATCACTGTTTACTATATCACTTCAGTGCCGTGGGACATCCTCCCGAGGTAAAGGGCGCTATACACGTGTAATTTGTTGTTGTCGTTTTCATGTTCAGCTACAAAATCCACAGACTCGTGAAGCCCTTTGAGATGTTCTCCCAATGTGAAAGATGTTATATCAAATGCACATATTTGTATTATTTTCCCTTCTCCTTGAACCTTGTCTCCAGTTTGGTTGGAATGAAAGATAAAATAAACAGCCTTTTTCTCCACTGTGTTGATGAAAACATATAGCTGCAGTCTTCTTATTCAGAATGTAGACCATTTGGAAGTACTACTCCGCCTGCAATTAGTTATTTACAAAAAGGATTAAAATAATAAAATAATAATGATTCTATTACCAGCAATGAAGGAATACATCCCTTTTTACTATTTGTTTCTAAGGGGAGTTAAATATTTTAAGTCTTCAAGCAAACTATATTGAATGTAATTAATGCACAACAATCTTTAACTTCAAAGGGAAGTATGAAAAAGCAGAATGGCTCAAAACATCATGAAACTAGTCTGAGCTTTCCACAAAACAGTCCAACTTTGTTTGAAATAAATTATTAAATCTAATAAATTGTGGTATTAAATAATTAATACCAATAAATAATAACATGTTTCTCAGATCACTAAAGCAAGCCTCTGTTGTTTTCATATTCCATGATATTCCAGGGTTCCATGTTGATGGTTTTGAAATTAAAAAGCTGGTCAACGAAGGTCACACTGTAATTCATTTTACAGTGAGTATCCATTTTAGCACAGATCAAAAGCAGTAGCTGAAGCCATCACAATGTTTTGTAACGGCAAATTTGCTTTGTAATTTTTACATGGGACGGTTAATTTGCGGATTGTGCATGTGCAAAGAGGGAAATGATCTTCAATTAACAAATATTGAAAATGATTTACAGAACCTGAAATCCTTTTCATGGATTCTTAATTAGGAAATTAAGAACAACTGTAGTTTCTTGTTTGCACAACCATTTAATGATGATAATAATAATCCATGTGTTTGATATAGTGTCAATATATACATTGTCGCAATGTCTCAAAGCATTTTACAGGATATACTGTAAAGTGGATTTGACTCTTTATTCTTTGGACAAAACGTGACAGTCAATTGTGCACAGCAATGTCCCACAAACAGTCATGGAGTGAGTGATTGATTTTATCTGGAGGATTTGTTGGCCAGAACACCGGTAGAAACTTCCTTCTCTTTTTAAATGGAGCAATTGGATCTTTAACGTCCACCTGAAAAGGCAGATAGGACCTCGATTTAACATCTCATCCAAAGTATATCACCTCTGACAATGTAACACTCCCCGCCACCTCTCCCCTCCCCGCACAGCACTGAATTGGAATTTGATCTTAGACTATGTGATTCCGAGTCCTGACATGGGGCTGAAACACACAAACTTTGATTAGACTACCACTGAGCCAGACTGACGCGCTGTGCACATGGTTCACAAAACCCGCAAATTGGACCCCAGTGTTACAAGAAATACCTAGAATGTCATATTAAGTGACATTGGTTTCTCCCCATAGATTGTGGGAATTACTTTGTTATCTTTTAATATTTTGTGGCATAAGTATTTTAAAGAAATGCAGTACAGAAAGATTCATTTATTAGTTACCAAAAGCAGACCACAATATCAATACTTGGCTAACAAGGTAAATAGCAGAATAACAATTTACTACTATTGCCATGAAGCTGGTAATAAAATTGCTCATCATTATAAGGCCAGGGAATGCAGCAAACAGGCAGTAAAACTATAAGCATTTAACAGCTCATTCAAATGGTCTTTTATTCCACTTTTGGAAATGTATAGTTGTCAAGAGTGTGGCCTGTAAGGAGATTATTAAGGTATGTGTTCAGATATATCACTTCTCTTTTCCCCTATGGTACTGTTGTTATATTAATGACCACATGCAGAAAGTTGTGTCATTAGTGAGCTGCGAAACTGCACCCATGGTGCGATGAAGATTGTGTGATAGACAGGTAATCATAGAGCTCAAGTTCAGCTACATTTCAAAATACTGAGAGCTCAAAGTCATCTAGCATAGTGCAGTACTGTGAACTTAAAGCAAGTTTTTGAACAATGCAACTTGGAATAAGGCAACTTCAATTTAAAAAATACGTAGAGAAATGTCTTCATTTCATTCTGAGAGAGTCCCTGTGACTTTCCCAAATGCTTTACTAGACCATTTTTCTGAGTAAATTATGAATGTTGCCCTTTCACTTCTGAGACCTGAGTTCTAATCCAGCTCAAAGTCATTAGAGAGATAATAAAGGAAAATTAATTCAGTCTCACTGAAATAGTCATTTGCAAGAGCACTCTACAAAACACAGGCATTACATCATTGACACTAAATCAGCAAACTCATTTATCTAACTTACAGTAGCAAACAGACCCAAATCAATGGGAAAAAAAATCTGAATGCTATGGTGAATTAACATGCCAGCCATCAGGTCCAGTCCTCCTACTTTCTACTTGCTTCCACCCTTTCACTTCTCCCTTACTCAGCGTCCACCTCCATCTTTGTGAAGCATTTCAAGGCTTTAAGCCAATGTGGAGGATGCTATATGAATGCAGATAATGTTTTCTTCTGTGCTGGCAGAAATTCCAATGGTTTCAATTAATTTACCTTGAGTCTCTTTTTTTCAATGGGGTTACCTTGAGTCTCCTTGCTTTCAATGTAAGAAAATAAAGAGGTTCTTTGAAACAGAGAAAACTGGCTAAGGAGCATTTGAACTGGAATAAAGACAGGTTCTACAAGGCAGAAAGCAGCAATTTAATTGTGTCTATAATTATTTTGCCATTGTTGTGCTGATGTTTTTCAACCAGCTGTTAGTGGATTTCTCAGTTCACCAATAGAAGTTACGTATCTCTACCAAGTTACGTATTCACTTTCAAATTCAGCTCCTCCATATAAATGGAGCTCCATAAAGGTTATCACTTGACTGTGGATATTGGCAAAGGAAGTATCAGACTGACCTAGGAAGTTGTTCCTCTTAATGTCAATGGGTAAAACACAGATAAATACTTCTATTTTCCATTTGTTCATTGATTCCCAACACTTCATCAAACTTCTTTGTCAATATTTCTAAGCATACAATAAGAATAGAATAGCTTTGCTGCAGCAATCCTGCATGAGAGAGATGAATTATGGGTCAAATAATTGCAAGTGTAAGAGGAGACACACTTTGAACTTTAAATTTCAACATTAAAGGCGCTGTAAGATTCTTCCTTCCTTTTCCTTTTTTCCTTTTGTTTGGTTCCATTCTTGAGATGTTGGCTCTATCTGTAACAAATCAAAGTCGAGAATAGTTGTCCTTTAGGGATGAGTTTATAAAATGTCCTTAATCAAATAGGTTCAAATAGTATAAAGCAAAGTAATGAAATTTGTGGGAATCAAGGTCACTCCTTACAAGCTGTACAAATCCTGTAATTTGCTCTGTCTCCTTGAGGAAAACCTGCATACAAACTCCCTGATACCCAATGTTAATCAAACTAACATTCTACAATATATTTTCTCTTCCACATTTTCTATACTGGAAACTCTGTATACACACACACACACACAAACTTTCCGCACATTCACTTACCACTATTGAAACTCGTGTAATTGGGAACTGTTGCAACTGTAATGTAAGGCATATGTTCAATCAGGAATTTGTTGCAAATAAATAATAACAATAACAATAATTGCATCTGATATAGCGCTCATCACGTCATTGAGATGTCTCAAAGCGCAAATATAAAGTTAAAGACAGGAAAAGATTCTGAGAGAAAGAATGAAAGTCAACCATCTGCAGTGTGTTAATGTCTTTTTGAAGGTGCTGACGTGTCTCAACCCTGAAGCTGAGTTTTGCCTCAAGAGTAAAACCCATGTTGTCTTTTTTTTATGATACATGCATTGTTTCATTTATTTTGGCTTTTTATTCAATTGTTGAATAGTGTTGTACCACTCTTAGTTGACAGCACGGTGTAAGTGGTTGATATATGACTTTTTATGACATTCACAACAATGTATTAAATTGTTGTGCTGTCAGCATAAAAGCATTGCAGATTATTGTAGGTTGATACGTCGGCTCCTATTGTAGGAGTACAGAGTAGTTGACAAACAATACTGCGCTAATGAAACCTTATGATCAGCACAAGCACAATACGACTGAATCATTGGTAGAGTTTGGCTTTTTATTTTGATATGGTTTGTTATTGGGTCTAACATGCTGTTTAAACTAAAGATGAAAATATGTAAATACCTATGGATCAGTTGATGTGTTAATTATCATAAGGTGGCTAAATTCAATTCAGATATTAATTAGCACCATCAGCTTATCACATCACACATTGCAATTTTCACCCCAAGATTCCCTCTGTCTTAATTATGAGTTGCTCAGATTTACAAGGAGCTGGATTCCTGCACTGACATCCTGAGGCTGCGTCACACCTTTGACTCCCAGCTCACGGATCAAAGCTTTACTCTGAATTTAAATTAAGCTCAGGACTCGATATCAAGTCAGCATTGAGAGTTCCATAAGGGAGGAGGGAAGGAGGGTGAGTCTGCCTCCAGGACATCTGAATAATTCAGATTCACTTAATATAGGTTGTAAGTTGTACCCCTCCCCCTCCATTGTATTGCAATTCTAAATATTGTACCATGAAATATCTTACAGCAAAAGGGATATAATTATATATAATATTGTCCCACTTATTGTTACACTCTGGATATTGGTATGTCAAAATATTTTGCCCCGCCAAATGTGCAATTTAGCAATATTGTAGAAGCAATCAGCATGTCATCAATAGAGGGAATGTTTGGAAGAAATAATTCTCCCACCACGTGGCCTGAGCATCAGCTCTCGCTCAACTCTTCAAAATAAGCTCAGATGCAGCTGCACCATCTTTAAGTTTCAAATAAATGGGAGGCAATTTTTCTATTAGCACGTTCTTAACTTTAGAAATGTCACAGCCTGTTGGAATATGCATGACCACCACCACCAACACCAACAACATGCATTTTTATAGCGCCCCTCACGCAGGGTAGCATCCCAGACCAGATCTCAAATGTAATGGGCAGCTTCCAGACTGCGCTGTTCTCAGGAATGTAATCCAATACAAAACTGTTGCAGTAACTATTGCGGTGAATACTGCCCTTAAAATTTTAACTTATATATTTAGCTACCTAAGAGGTAAGTAAAAAGAGGGGTTTTAGACAGGGAGGTTTAAATGCATTCTCAATTAATAAAAGTGACGCATGATTTGCAAAAGACATAAGATAGAACCTGTAATTTTTTTGAAAGGGAGTTCAATGCTCGAAAAAGAGAAATATTAAAGACCATGGTGAATGAGAAGAGAGAGTGATGAGGTCAGATGATTTTTTTCAGAGAAAAGCATCATGCAGACTTAATGATATATCTGAGTGATGTACAATGCAGGTTACCTTTTTTTCTCAATTTCTACGTTGTACACAGAGAGCCTCCTCAAGTGATATTTGTTTCAAAATATTACATTCCAAGAAGGAATAATCATTGAAAAGCTTAGAGAAAACTGAAATGCTGACTTTGTCATAAAACTGCCAAACACATCTAGGAGGATTTCTGCCTCCAGTCCTGCCAGCAACTCTCACTTCTACTCTAAATAGTCTGGCCCTAGGTGGATTACACTGGGCTTTATGTAGCATTGAGCACTCGCACCAAAAAAGTCTGCACCCTATTTCATTCATAAAATACTCATTGTTTGCCTTTAATTTCAGCACTCAAGGCTGCAGCTGAAAATCTGCATATAAATAAGCATTTTCACACTGGAAAAAAAGGTTTGAGAGGTGAAATGATTGTATTTTTTAAGATTCTAAGGGGATTGGATAATGTAGACCGTGATAAGCTGTTATATCTCGTGCAGAACAGTAGAACCGGAACACATGGCCTGCAATTGAAGAGGGTAAATTCAAAACAAATCTGCGGAAATTATAATTTAGAAAGCAAGTAGTAAATGTATGGAACATGCTCCCAAGGGAAACGGTGGAAGCAGAAAGGGTTGATTCTTTCAAAAGCAAATTAGATAGATTTATTTTAGAAAATAATATCTTGGGATACAGTATATAATAATCCTTGCATTTGATATAGCGCCCTATCATGTCTTTGAGATGTCTCAAAGTGCTTCACAGAATATACTGTTAAGTGAATTGACTGTGTATTTTGTGAGCGAAAGTGTCCCACAAACAGTCGTGGATTGAGTGACACATTTTTAAGGAGGTAAACTTGATGGACCAAGGTCTTTTTTCATCTAGCAATTCTTATGTTCTTATAGCATTTTCCATTAAAAACAGGTAACAAATAGATGTTTATTTTTAGTGCTGATGAATGGAAACTGCATGGGATGGGACTTGTTCAGGAAGAACATCCCTATGTATTAGAGCTTTGGCTTGCAGGGTTGTGAAAATACAGTAAAACTTGCATAAATCTTAACTTTATGAATCGTATAATCACCTAAGCTGTATTCACCCAGGTCCCATTTCCTATAAAAATCACCTAGGTGTCTTTGCATTACTCATGTTAATCACCCTGACTTGTAACTCCCCTACCTTCCATTAATCACCCACTTACCAGCTGCCGTGAATTGCAGGAAATGACGTTCTGACCCTTCAATGCACATGCATTTACCAGCCGGCTGCACTGAATCACAGAAAACATAGTCTTGATCTATCAATGCATCTGCAGAAGATCTAAATTTCCTGTAATTCAATGCAATTCCGATATTTGCAGAGAAGTGCGCATGTGGAGACATGTCAAGACACATTGAATTGCGGGAAATGTAGTCTTGATCATCACTCGTTTGGGCACCTATCGGCTGCAATGACAAACTACCACATGCACATCTACTAGAGTAGATTGTTGATTAAATTGTATTTTCTACGGTTTATACAATTTGCCTGCAACTCGAACTTTGCGCAAGTCATATTAAATGTTATAGTCCTGATTCATACAACTTATGTGAGTTTTACTGTACCTGTATCTTAAAGACTAATTGATGAGATCCACAGGCTGGACAATTAACAGACATCCATTACTGCAGACCAACTTTGATCTCCACTGAAACAATTCAACTCCAGGGAGACTGCTTCCCAGCTTCACTCCTTCCACTCCCTTTACGAACTCCTCCAATTGGGTTTCTGTGATACCCATAGCACAGAAACAGCCCTAGTCATGGTGACAAATGACATTCTGTCCATCTGTGACCAGAGTCTCCTCATTCTCCTCGACCTTTCTGCTGCCTTTGACACTGAGGACCACTCTATCCTCCTCCACCGTCTCTCCTCTCACCTTAACCTTCAAGATTCTGTCTTTGAATGGTTCAGATCCTATCGCTCACACTGGCTCCACTTTATCTCCACAAATGGCTTCTCCTCCAGCCCCCGCACTGTCTCGTGTAGTGTTTCTCAGGGCTCTGTCCTCAGTCCTCTCCTCTTCTTGATATCATCGACAGACATGGGGTCAACGTTCACATGTAAGTGGATGATAGCCAACTCTATCGCCTTGCCTTCACCCTCAACCTCAGGACCACTGATATTCTACAGACTGTCTGTCAGGCATCAAGTCTGGATGAGCGTCAACAAGACTGAGGCCCTCCTGATTGGCTCCCGTCTGTGCCGACACACCTCAGGCATTGACAGCATCACCATGCAAGGATGCACACTCCACCTTACTAAGCGGGTCTGGAACCTTGGGGTCTTGTTTGACCCTCAACTAGCCAATTCTCTACAGTTGAATGTCAGCAAAACCGAGACTCTTCTGATTGGCTCGCGCCAGCGCCTCCGCACCTCAGGCACTGGCAGCATTAGCATCTATAGTTGCACACTCCACCTCACCAAGCCAGTCAGAAACTTAGGTATCTTGTTCGACCCTCAACTGTCACTTTGCCCCCACATCCGTGCCATGACTAGTTCTGCCTTCCCTACCTTCTGCAATAGTGCCTGACTCTGCCACTGCCTCACCCCACAGGAGTGGAATTGGTTAGAGCACCCATTGACCTGTTCCTGATTACAATTATGTGGATTTTGTTATAAACTGTGCATATGGTTATGAACTGAATTGGACATCATTATGTTCCTCCCCGCCCCACAAACAAATAGCTTTTAGAAAATGGCTAGTTGAACAAGGTACTGGAGGGCAAACAACTTCTGTGAGACTACGTCGGTTGAGTCAGCACATTTAGAAGAGAGTGGAAGGATACATTTTAAAAAACGATGTAGGAATTTTAGCTGATATATAAACTGTTAGTTTGTCTTAGACTATAATA